TGCAATCTGTATCAAAATTCCAATGGCATTTTTCACAGAAATAGGACAAACAATCCTAAAATTTTGATGAAACCACAAGACCCCGAATAGCCAAAGCAATCTTGAGAAAGAAGAACAAAGCTGGAGGTATTACGCTTCCCGATTTCAAACTATTTACAAAGGTATAGTAATCAAAACAGCATAGTATTGGAATAAAAACAGACACGTAGATCAAGAGAACTGAACAGAGAGCCCAGAAATAAACACACAAATATATGGTCAATTAATTTATGACAAAGGATATACCATGGGAAAAGGACAGTCTCTTCAATAAATGGTGCTGGGAAAACTGGACCTCTATCTTATACCATACACAAATATCAACTAAAAATAGATTAAAGATTTGAATGTAAGAAAGACCTGAAACCTTAAAACTTCTAGAAGAAAACATAGCAAGAAACCTCCTTGTCATGAGTCTTGGCAATGATTTGTTGGATTTGATACCAAAAGCAAAGGCAACACAAGCACAAATAAACAAGTGGGACTACATCAAACTGAAAAGCTTCTGCACGGTAAGGGAAACAACCAACAAAATGAAAAGCCAAATAGGAAATTCGCAATCATATATTAGATAAGAGGATAATATCCAAAATATATAAAGAAGTTATACAAGTCAATAGCAGAAAACCCCAAACAATCAAATTAGATGGACATTTTTCCAAAGAAGACATACAGATGGCCAACAAATACATGCAAAGGTGCTCAACATCACTAATCATCAGGGAAATGCAAATCAAAACCACAATGAGATATCACCGCACACCTGTTAGAATGGCTGTTATCAAAAAAAGGAAATTGGTGTAGCCACTATGGAAAACAGTATGGAGGTTCCTCAGAAAATTAAAAATAGAACTACCACATGATCTAGCAATTCTACTTCTGGGTATTTGAAGGAAACTAAAACACTCACTTGAAAAGATATCTGCACCCCAATGTTTACTGCAGCATCATTTACAATAGCCAAGATATGTGAACAATCTAAGTGTCCATTGATGGATGAGTGGATAAAGAAAACGTGATACATACACACACACACACAATGAAATACTATTCAGTCATAATAAAGCAGGAAATCCTGTCATTTGCAACAACATGGATGAACCTTGAGGGCATTACGCTAAGTGAAATAATTCAAACAGAGAAAGACAAATATCAGATGATCTCTCTTTTGTATAGAATCTAAACACACACACACACACACACAAACGAACTCATAGCTACAGAAAAACAGATTGGTGGGTTGAGAGCCCAGGCAGGAGCTCTGCCCATGTGCAGAGCCAGGACAGTGGCCCCATTTGTTTAGGGAACTTGGTGCACAGTTCTGCTTGAGTTAGGACCCCAAACAACAAGCCATGCTGGCCTTGAAGCCTGTTCTGCTGCTCCACCTGACAGGGAGGCTAATTCACAGCCCTACCTGCTGAATGTAGCCTCCAGCCCCGCCTGACCAGGCAACCCTAACAGAGCTCCCAGCAATCAGTGTAGCCCACCCTGCAGCCCCGCTTACAGTGGCGCTTGAGAGCACAGCTAGTGGCTTTCCCCATTTGCAGAGTAAAGCCATATAAATAATCCTGCCATTTGCGACAGCATGGATGGGCCTTGAGGGCATTATACTAAGTGAAATAAGTCAGACAGAGAAAGACAAATACTGTATGATCTTATTTATATGTGGAATCTAAAAAAACCAAACTCATAGAAAAAGAGATCAGATTTGTGGTTGCCAGAGGCAGGGCGTGAGGTGACTTGTAGCAAAGTGGTCAAATAAGATAAATAAGTACTGGTGAGGTAATGTACAACACAATGACTGTAGTGACCCATGCTGTATGGTATGTTTGAAAGCTGGTAAGAGTGGATCCTAAAAGTTCTCATCACAAGGAAAAAAAAAATTTTGTAACTATATGAGGTGATAGATGTTAACTAAATTTATTTTGGTAATCATTTTGCAGTATATATGCATGTCAAGTCATTATGCTGTACACCTTAAACTTATACAGTGTTATATCTCAATTATATCTCAATAAAATGAAGAAAAATAATAATAAAAAAATAATTTGTTTCTCTCCTTTCTGTGGGAAGTTGTCTGTCTGCCAGTCTTATGTATTTGATTTCACAATCAACCCTCAAACATTTGGGGAGGAGGGAGTTCAGTCATAATTCCAAATATTTTCTTCAAAAAAAAATAAAGATTTTTTTCACTTAAGGAAGACTTTAAGGTTTTGTCCAAAATTATGATTCTTTGACTTGAAGAAAATATACTCCAAAATAATTGTAGTGAAATAGTAAATTAAATTTCATGATATTGTGTTTCAGCATATTCATCTTAGTTTTCTATTATTTTATTGTACTTTCCATAAAGTTGGAGATAATCAAGCACATTTAATTGTAACCTTTAATTAATTGTAACTGGATTGTTATGGACTGAATGTGTGTGTCCCTCTAAAATTCATATGTTGAAGCCATAACCCCCAATGTGATGGTGTTTGTTTGGAGGCAGGGCCTGTGGGAGGGAGTTAGAGTTGGATTGGGTCATGAGGGTAACTCATGACCCTCATGATGGGATTAATTAATAAAATAGGAAGAGACAGGAGATGTCTCTCTCTATCATTTGAGGATACAGCAAGAAGGCAGCTGTCTGAAAGCCAGAAGAGGGTTCTCCCCAGAACCCAACCACGCTGTGGTACCCTGACTGTTGTTTAAGCCACCAGTCTATGGTATTTTGTTACAGCATCCCAAAGCCAACTAAGACATGTTTAATAACTGGTCTTGGTGGAATTTTTTTTTTAAATATAATTTTTTTATTTATTTTTCCCCCCAAAGCCCCAGTAGATAGTTGTATGTCATAGCTGCACATCCTTCTAGTTGCTGTATGTGGGACACAGCCTCAGCATGGCTGGAGAAGCGGTGCATCAGTGCACACTCAGGATCTGAACCCAGGCCGCCAGCAGCAGAGCGTGTGCACTTAACCACTAAGCCACGAGGCCGGCCCTGGAATTTTAAACATTGCAAAATAAATAAAATAAAAACATAATTTACAAGTATGGATAATAATGGCCTTCCTTAACTCAAAGAAATGTTTCCTGCAAAGAAAAAATTGTAGCTTCTTATGCCCTAATAAAACCATTTCAGTTCTTTCCCCATTTAAGAATTAAGATGCAACAATGTCTTAGAAAAACCAATATACATCATGTAAGTCTCTACCCCCGATCATCTGAAATCCATAGTCTGCCTTCAGAAAATCAGAAAGGAATTTATATGCACCTGCAAACTAGAGAAATAATTTTGTACTCTGAGCCCAAGTAAAAGCCAAGATTTTAATCTAATCAGTTTCCAGAATCTTAAAATGCATTGTTTCAAATTCAGGTGGGTTGTGCATACCTTGTTCTTCACTGGGGAGTTTCCACTGTAGAGCTGGCAGGTATGCTAAAGCATCCTAAATTGCCTTTATGAATAAATGGTTTGAAATGTTCAAACAGCTCCCCAGCTCTTTTCCCCTGTTGGCTCTTGGGAAAACCTTGAAACCCCAGGCCTGGGCTGGATGTTAGGAGGCACCTGGTGTGCGCCCAGACTCCAGGCAAGGCTGCCCTTCAGGAGAGCCAAGGCTTCTTTCTCAACAGATTCCAAGTTGACTTTGCTGTCAATCCTGCCACGACCACCACCCTAGCCTACTATCTATGTAATAAGTGTCTGGACTTGTAAATTTAATTTATGTGCATATTAATATCATTTAGAAACTTCATCTCAGAACAGTTCCAGATTACTGAAGAGGCAAGAGCCTCTTATAGTGAGTTGTATGTTCGGGTAATAGTCACATGAGGTCCCCTCTGTATTCCTGTATAGTTTTACTTCATAACTTCGTGTTTGCATTAGTAAAGGCATTGACAACTATGAAAAAGAAATAATTTGAGTTTTAATAAGTAAATTGTGTGAACCGGTAATATTGATCATATGTTATCCTGTAATACTTTTTCTGAATTTTTAAATTGCCTTTTCACGATTTCCTCAGGAAGATAACAGGCTCCCTCTAGTGGGAAGTGAGCAATATAACTGCATTATTTCCCCGGAGCAGTGTAACTTCATAGCTACACTTTGAAGGAAAGGAGGCCTCTTCTGGCTCCGACAGTGTGGGCTCCATAACGTTTATTTTTCTCTTTGAATTTTCTCAAAGAAAATAATATTATCAAGGAATGTTTATAGGATAGTCATGAGTTTAGATCAGGTTGATGACATGAACCCAATCTGTGCCTAGGCATTAACTTCAGCCAATATATTTATGTAACTTGTAAATATATAAATTCTAATTATATAACTTAACTCTTAAGCCTTTACTTTGATAATTAAGTAGTTTAAAGGATTATCTCATCTCTTGCCCTCATTTTACGGCTGAGCCTAGGTAGCTTGCTCATGATGACGTAGTTGGAAGTCTGCCTTGACCTCTGAGTTCCTATTAATTTTACAGAAAGTAAGCTGTGTTCACTTGGGCTTTTCTTACTTTGAGAAAAAAATGACCAAAATCTCATGTTGTTTGAAGTAATTAGCTTTCTGCCCCATATCATTTATGCTTGAAGCTAAAACTGCATCTTTATAGAGCTTAATAACTTACGTAAAATGTTAATTCTGAATCATCAAGAAAAATTAAAATGGTACCCAAGCACGGAATAGCACATAACAGAAATGGGTTTTGGTTTTATAGTCAATAAAGAAAAAAAATTTTACTGAAATTTAGTATTGAGAATGGGATATATCCCCAAATGGTAAATAACCAATAACCAACTCCAGGAAGAGTGGTTATGGCAAGTTATAGACATTTTCAGTTTTAAAATCCCATATCATATATTTCACCTATCACATTTTATATATCTTCTATCAAAGCACGTGCTTAATTGCTTTTTGGTAACTTGACAAAGACATTCTACACTGGAGAATGGTTGGCTCTCATTAAATAGTTTCTTCTTATTTTCTTACAGCAAATCATATGCTTAGTTTTGGAACACTAGTCAGTACTTCCAATACCTACGATGGATCTGGTGTTGTGACCGTGGAAACAGACCACCCACTCCTCTGGACCATGGCCATCAAAAACTAACCCACCCACCAACGTCCACAGCCGTGCCTCAGACTTACCTCATTTGCAAGACTTATTGCTCAACAAGAACAGTTCACTGTGGTTTGCAGGAATCCAAATCTCTCCATGGGAAGCCTGCTAGTTTTAAAGATGTTACCGTTTAAATAATTAAGGTGACATTATAAATGACAGATCTCTGTTTTATAGTGGGGGGGGGCTCATTATTTGTTAATAAAACAAATAAGCTCTGTTACATTCAGTTGGAAAACTAATGTGGATCATTCCACCATAAAATTCAGTACTGATTATTCTTATGTTATTAAACATTCCACTTATCCTAGAAAATTGCTTTTAATTTTGAAGCTGAGACAGCTCTGTTGAGGGTCCTTGGTGTCCAGGATATAAACCTCCGTCTGCCCATCCTTAAATGCTTAACATCAAGGGCTTCTTCTGAGTGTCTGTTAATATTAGATTCCTTCATATAATAGAGAAAGGAAATTCTTCCACATTGCGATGTTAGAACTGCACCATTTCAGTCTGGCCTTAGTACTGTCTTTGGTATTATCTTTTAGGAATACATCAAGAATCACTGACCTAATTATTAAATTGGAAAACAGGTAGGTAAGCTATAGGTGAAAAGAGAAATGACATGATGGATAAATGACAATTCATAAAGCTCTACTGACATATTCACCCCAAACTCAGCTTCTGCAGTGAGTGTGCTGGGCTGTAGTGGAGTGACAGATCAGAACTGCCCTCATCATAATTACAACCTGGACTGTAAATGTTGTGCAGAGGAAACTTAAGCATGAAATTGAACTGTTTCTGACATACCTCAGACTGAAAAAATATTGGTTCATAGACCACAAGTTTGCTCTGATTAGCAGAAAATGAGGTTGGCAATCCACGTGCACAAGTGAACACCATGTACTAAGGAGCCTGGGTCTAAAGCCTGCATTCTTGTCCCAGTGCAGCCATCCATCCAAGTTCCCTGAACCCGTCTCCATAGAAAAGGGAAGGGGTTGACAGACGGTGCCTGAGGTTCCTCCCCACCCTCAGAGTCCAGACCCTGACGCTTGGATGTTATTAGGCAGATAATGCACAGTTACTAAACCACCTGGGGCATTGAAATGTATTCATGTTTATTTTATGATCAGACCCTCTTCATCCTCTTACCCTTTTCTGTCCTGTTTACCAAACCGAATGTTGCCATACAAACCACGACATAAGGAAGACCTGCCTAATGTGGTTTCCGTACACGCAGTCCCCATGTTGCTGTAAGGAAAGGGACCAGCAGTAGCTCTTCCTGGTGCTACCACAGAGGGAGGGTCGGATTGTAAGTGGAGAATGGAAGCAGAGCAGCTGAACTGGCATGCAAGTGTGAACAGTCAATCATTAGAGACAATTTTAATTATTTATGCAAATATATGTGAGATTGAATCTGGAGGTCAAATAAAAATATTTAGCTACCAATGCCCATGTCTGTGGTCAGTTTTTAAGAAAACAGTCCGTTTTCTCAACTGTATTTCATTATCACCAATCTCATAATCAGTATTTCTGTACAAGAAAAAGATTTGCTCAAAGGATTAATAGCTACAGTACTTTGCTCATCTGATTTCAGAGCAGCCCAGCATCATTATTATTTTCTCTAATCTCCATGGAGGTTACTCTCTAGCTCACCTGTGCCAGGTGTTTGCACTTCATCTCTCTGGACCCGCTGCCCCATCTATGAAACTGGGGTTATAGGTAGCACTGGTGTACCTTGTAGGACTTGCAAAGGAAGGACAGGTAGATTGCTTTCAAAGATCTTTATAAGCTGGAGGAAGAAGAACCAACAGAGAGAAGGAAATGCCATAGTAGAGAAAGTGAAGAAAATCGGTGGAGGAAGAACCCTGGGGAGCAAGAGAAGGGATTGGAGCACAGGTGAGTCCCAGATCAGATGGTCAGTGCTGTAGTGGAGCCCAGTTCTGGGCCCTTCTGCATCTGCTCAGCACAAATGCAGAGCCCAGAGCTTCTGTGCATATACTGCCTACCTTCCCATTCACAGCAGAAACCCTTGTCAGGAAGCCAGGGGGGAAGATCAGTCAAGTCTGGCTCCTTCAACTCGGAACCTCCAACAGAAAAACACCTAAGACCTCCAAAGCACTGCCCGAAACAGTACCTGCACCAAAAGGAACTAGGAAGGAGCAAAGGAGAGCGGGTCAAGAGGCGTGGCACTCAGCACTTACTCCTTCTGCTTCACTTAGAAGCTCAGGCTCAGCCATCATATATTCATCACTAGACATGTATTATATACATAGAAATGTGTCCACTGTTTCAAAATTTTACTACAAAAGAATGTCCTGTTTATCCTGAAATTCTTACCAGTGTTAGTAAGTGGATACTTAACAAAAAGAAGTTTGCTGAAGCTTAGTAAGCACTGAGGGAGAATAAAAACATCATTGAGACTTATCCCACATCACCACCTACGCATCACGCTGCAGCCACTGGAGGCCCATGGAAGGGTTTCGCTTCAAGTACAGGGCACCCCTCCCAATTCCTGCCAGGCCACTGAAGAATTAGGTACTGGTCTTATTATTTGACCCCATGCCATTCCTTAACACCACTTAAATACAAATTTCCTCTTTAGGGACTTCCTCACCACATCATTTCGACTAGCATCCCTTCGTTATTTCCCAGTGTTACTAACTATATATTCCAGTGTTACCGAGTCTGCTGCTGAGATCGCAGTGCGCTCTCTTAGCCCACCCGCGGCCCCCCGCCCGCGGCCCCCCGCCCGCGGCCCCCCGCCCGCACTCCTGTCCTGTCCTGACCTCCAGCTTGCAGCCATGGAGAAACCAGAAGTTGGGCTCTGGTGGGCAAGTGACCTGTGCTCCTTGGCCCTTTTGACTTCAATCTGTTTCTTCTTTACGTGGGTTTTTATAAATCTAGTGCCAGTCCCCCAGAAATGGCATCTGGCTCCTAAATCACGGACTAGTGAGGACATGCTGTGATCACTCTTCAGGCAGCAGGGAAAACCTGAAAATGGCTGCAGATTGAAACCCTGGGTGGAGTCACGGTGACTATGAGCTGTGATAAGTGGTGTGTGGTCCAGGCATTGGGAGTGGACCACGCTCCCAGACACAGGCCGGGCACCGTAACCCATCTTCACTCCTTAAGTTCTGCTAAGCAGACAGAGCAGTTTTCTCTTGGGATGGGAACTGGGCCGTTTCACTAGTTACAGAGGTTCGCTCCGAGCCAGGAGGAGGTGGCCCTGAGAGCCTGGGCGTTCGTAAGGGTAACTGCTCAAGCATCTGTGTCATGCTTCTGTACATGTGGATGCATTTTAAACAGACCTTGCTCACTACTCCTGCTCAAATTCACGCCTTCCAAAGCTTTACCTGAACAATCACAATCAAGCAGCACATGGATTTGATGTGATTGAGACTGATAACAGACGCCACGTCAGGAAGCGGTTAAAAACTGTTCTCTACCCTGAGGCTCTGTGCTTAGGAAAGGAGTGTGGTCTGAGGGGTGACTTTCCAACTAGATTGACCACGACTCTCTAGAAATACATTTTGTCTTTTGACCTGATTGACACACACAAACATGTAGTGTACTCTGATAATTTATTCTAAATTGAAAAACACCCAGAAATCTATTCTAGATTGAAAAAACACACCAAAGGGTAGAGTAAAATGCATAAAGCGACTTTTTAAAAATGTGTATGTGTGTGTGCATGCGAGAGTTCTGCACTGAACATATACTTCTTTCCTCAGTTTAAGACAAGATGAGTATAATTTACCTCTTTATCCTTACCACTTAATAATAATAGTTTTTATTCTTATATGTGTGCTAAGGGGAATAACCTACCAGTGACAGCAGGCTGAATGTTAATCCGATTTGGGAATAATAAAACCAATTTAACTTCATTAGGAAGGGGGTGGTGGTAGGGAGCTAGATTATTTAAGTTCTGTCTAAAGCATTCTATTCAGAATAAAATAAATGATCCTTGTACCTGGGGAGAAGAAAATTGAAGCCTCAAGGTCAAGCCGGTCCCAGGGAGTCTGTATACACAGAATGGAAAATTCCCGGCTCATACAGTACGAGTTTGCCCTCCCTTGCCCACAGCAGATTTCACTTATCAATCATAGTTTTCTTTTCTGATGAGCCAGAGCCTGTGCCTCATCTCAAAACGATTCTCCAGGCGGCCATGATCAATTATTCTCCATTGGCTTGGCACCCCTGGCGGCTCAGAGCTGATGTGTGATCTCACCACTGTACACAGAACAGCTACGGTTCCATCCTGGGAAAGAGGTCATGGCAGCATCATTCTTCTTCCTGGGGAATGAAGGACTTGTTCCCTGTGTACTTAATTCCACCACTGAAAGCAAGGGCTTTGTATACAGCAAAACAAAAAGAAAAACTAATGCCATCTCTCCCAATGACTTGAAAAACATAAACAGCGCCCTGAGATCACCTATAGTTGAGAAATAAGAAATTTCTCAGAATAGACCCATAGACGGTCCCTGAGAACCAAGAAATCTAAGATATATAATACTGTGTTAGTCCAAAGGTTGAAAAGGGTTTTTATCTAACAGTAAAAGGAATTGATAAAAGATTACAAATCATATCTTATTTCTTTTCAAATTACCTTTAAACCCTAACGACTAGTGAATATTTAACAGCCAGTTATATTTTTGAACAATAAACATGGGAAATTATGAGTATAAAATTCTGCAGGAACTGAGCAGAGTCCAATCTGAATGGCATAATTAATTTTATGCTTAGTTGCTTAACATTCTGAATCCTTTGCTGAAATGTCAACCCCTTGGGAGCATGGACTTTGTGTTTCTTGTTATCTGCTGTATCCTCTGTCTTAGAATAGGGCCCTGTCATCAGCAAGTGTGCAAAAAATATTTGTGTGGTACCACTGGTGCATTAACTAACCTCCCCACTTGAACCCAGACCCCAGGAATATACTGCTTGGTTTCCCTAGTCCCTGGAGACTATTGTTCTTTTCCTTCCTTGATCCCTAACTATCCAAGCTTTAAAGTAGTATTATGCTCAGGTTTCCCCTGAATAGGTTCCTCAGTCCTAAAGATAAGCACCCTAATTCTAGATTGGATAGACTAGTATGTATACTTGCTCACTCATACATCAGAAGAAGGAAATAATGTTCACAGCACCAAGGCTGGGCTTACAGATGTCATTCAAGGCAAATTACAGTAAGTAAACAATAAAGGAAAATCAAAAGGCCAAGGAATTTTAAGTTCCTTGAAATGGACAGATAAGGGAAAATGAAAGCCACGAGGTGAGTAATGACAGAAGTTTGGAAGACTGGTATCGACTAAAAGAAACAAGGTCAAAATAAATGTGAAGAGCACATTTGACTGGCTTGACTTGCTGGAGAAAATGCAAAAATAAGAGGTTAACAAAGAAATTTTTCAGAGTCGGAAATTTTGTAGGTGGACCTATTTCCAGCTTTGGAGGTTCAAAGAATGACCTTGGCTGTCATGAGTTGACATAGACTACAGACAAGAAGAATACATATTATTTTCAAATACTTGGAGACCATGGCATTCAGTTCTGACATTTTATTTGTGTTTACATCTGTTCTTCAAATTAAACCTTTAATATGCATATGAAATTAGCCTGAGTCTAAAACCATAAAAAAAAGGTATGTTATCTTCAACTGAATTACCCACACTAAACCTTATTATTTGTGATTTTAATTCAGTGTTCTCTATTAATAAGTAGCACTGTTAACTTTTAAAAAAATATAAATGCCACAAAAGACTGTTTTTTATTGAAAAAACCTATCTTCTCCAAAAAACTTCTCTTCATACAACTTTTATTAACACAAATAGTTACTCAGAAAATATTTGTAGAATGCATGTACAAGTGTTCTCTGTAATATTAAGACATTCTACTCACCTCTCCCTTATAGAAATTCCTATGCTTTGTCCCA